GAATAATTTACATTTTGATATTAAATATGTTTAATATGGCATGCATTTGCTGTAGTACTTGATATTAAATTTAGCCCGATGTTATATGTAACCTGTATATGATATAGTAATTTATATATTGATATTAAATATAGCATGTATATCATATAATAATGAACATTAAATATAGTCTGTATGTCATATTGTAATGTAGATGTTGGTATTAAATATAGCCTGTATACATGTATCAGATAAGGATGATATTGAATATAACCAGTATATCATATAGTTATTTATATATCGATATTAAATATAGCCTGTATACATGTATCACATAGTAATGATATTAAATATAACCATTATATCATATAGTTATTTATATATGATATTAAATATAGTCTGTATACATGTATCACATAGTAATGATATTAAATATAACCAGTATATCATATAGTAATTTATATATGGATATTGAATATAGCCTGTATACATGTATCACATAGTAATAATATTGAATATAGCCAGGCATATTAAATATAGCCTGTATACATGTATCACATAGTAATAATATTAAATATAGCCAGATAGTAATTGATATATCAATATTAAATATAGCCTGTAAACATGTATCACATAGTAATGATATTAAATATAACCAGTATATCACATAGTTATTTATATATCCATATTAAATAGCCTGTATACATGTATCACATAGTAATGATATTAAATATAACCAGTATATAACATAGTAATTTATATATCCGTATTAAATATAGTCTGAAAACATAGTAATGATATTAAATATAACCAGTATTTCATATAGTTATTTATATATGGATATTAAATATAGCCTGTAAACATGTATCACATAGTAATGATATTAAATATAACCAGTATATCATATAGTTATTTATATATGGATATTAAATATAGCCTGTAAACATGTATCACATAGTAATGATATTAAATATAACCAGTATATCATATAGTTATTTATATATGGATATTAAATATAGCCTGTAAACATGTATCACATAGTAATGATATTAAATATAACCAGTATATCATATAGTAATTTATGGATATTAAATATAACCTGTATACATGTACCACATAGTAATGATATTAAATATAGTAATTTTATCTTTAAAATAGTTCTTTGTTTTTCTTGAACCTTTTATTCCCGCAATAGAACAGAGCTAATGGTATATGTTTGTGTTAAAACTTCTGGTATGCTAGGGCTAAATAACTGGGTTGCTTTTACAACTTTTCCAATATAATGAACACATATTCAGCAGTTTCAATCGGTACTTACATATAAATATGTAAGACTTATGTTTCTGGAATATAAGATAAAACCCAATACAGTCCTTGGAAAAGTTGTAAAAGTAACCCAGTTGAGTTTCAGAAAGATCTCTACTGCACTATCTGCATTGCTGTAATTACTCTTGCTACTTTAGTCATTATTATATAACACATGGTCATAGACCATTATCTAACTTAGACTCATAGGCGTACGGGCTCGATGACAGTTAGGGGGGCAGAACCCGAAATGCCCGTAAAAATTGCGGGTTTACAAAGAGCGGTGCCGGTCTTCCTCGAGGGGCGAGAAAGCGGGGCTTACCTTGTATGCCCCCCCCCCCCCCAAGAAAATTTTGGAATATTTGACGGCTGTAGGCCTACAAATTCGTGGTATTCAATTAAAAGAAAAGTAAAATTAGTTTTATGTGAGGGCTCAATGGCAGTTAGGGAAGCAAAACTAGGAATGCCCGAAATATTTCGGGTTTACAGACAGCGGCGCCGGTTGTATGGATCCCCCAAGAAAATTTTGGAATATTTGACAGTCGCAAAAACGCGTTTTCCTGCTCTTCCAGTCCTTATATATAGAGTTTTATTAGATTTCTGGAACTTTATTTTGCTAAATATATGAAATATTTTTTTTTTTCACTTCGTCCGTCTGCCCGAAAAGTCAGCTTGCCCGAAAGTTAGGGGGCAGCTGCCCCCTGCCCTCCTGGCCCGTACGCCTATGCTTAGAGTTTCTTTGATATACCACTAAGTTGAAATTCTTCTGAACCAAAGTGGGGAAAATAGTATCAAATATCAAGTTAAATGGTTGTTCCCAGCAATAATTGGTGACTGTTGATGAGAATTAACACAAAATAGCCCTTATCCTGGTGGAATTTGGCAAAACCTGTGTTTGTAGATGCCCCGGAAATCTTAATGATAATGTAGAACACGTTATCCGCGTTTTAAATCAAATGGATGAACAACGCACATGCTCTGTATTTAATTCTAATCTATAAATAGGTGACGTGCATTATGTATATTTATATTAAATGTTACATGAACATCGATATTTAAGGAATGGGTTGATATATAGACCACATTTTCGGAAACAATTTTATTTAGAAACACGGCCGTAAAAAGAAAAAAACTGCCTCTTTTATAATTGTGCAAAAGTCTAATATCAAAAGTGTCAGTTGCTATAGAATTTTATGAGAGATTTTTCACGTAACTATATAATTGATCAAACGGAAATTACTATAGATGTACATAAGATTTGTAGCTGAATATGTATTCCATATTCAAGAAAGTGTTATTTCGTATAGAATTTTACAGAATAATTAAAAAAAATATAGAACTATTTTGTCATCCATCAATCATCTACTGCTGCTATAGAATTTGCTATAAATATTATACTTTCTTAGAGAACTTTTGTAATCTTAAATATTTGGTTCCATATATTTTGTAGTTTTCTGTGCTAATAAGATGCAAACCAAAACTATAGTTTCGTACAACATCCTGTAGAAAAAATATTATATACAGCAGGCTAACTACAGATTTTGTAATCTGGACATTTATTGATGCACTGACATACTCTTTGTAGATATAATTCCCCAAATTAGATATCTATGGATATAATAGTTTACTAAATTAAAAAATATTTCTTTAAATTTAAGCCATATGAAGAAGAAAACTTGACATGAAGCAGAACTGTGGACCCACCGCAGAATTTAAATTTATCTACAGAGAGAAAATTAAAACACGATTTAAAAGAAACCACGGACCATTTTCGCTCAAAGGAATTGCATGAATAGTACAGTCTCCATTTCTATGGAAAACCGTTCGGTACTGACCCAAATCCCAAATGCAGTAATCAATCCTGTGTATAACTGTACAATTTCCAACAGAAAGTCGTACCAAAATCTACAGAATACTATATATGTTCCTAAAGAGATGTTACTGTACAATATTCGGGTTTATATTACTTGCCAAAGGTACAGTAAACATTTAAGGGGTTTGTGTATGTCCGAATCTATCAAAGTTCACTGTAAAGCAAAGACAATGCAAGTGATAGCACTGAAGCATTCTTGCTTCTTGAAATTAATAACGACTAAAGCCCTTGAGTGGGTCCATGAACAAGCACGCCTATTTCAATCTCGCCATTGTTAATATTCATATTATGCATTATAATATACAACCAACATATCCGTACGCTCGTCTTCTTAAGCCCGTTTAGATATAAATCTGAATGGTAGTGTTCATTTCTAAAAGCAACCCTAGAAACTGGACGGCCGATATCAAAACTAAACGGCGTTTCTTAAATTACACGGTAGCACAAATCGGACGTTTTTTTATGAATCTTGTTTGTGAATAATGCTTTCTTAATTAGTGGCAATCTATTAACTGATTACATGTACCAGATTCTAGATAGTAAGAGCAGTTTCTCACCTTTTTTTCATCAAATGTAACTGATACCCGGGCCCTAGTGATAATTTGTGGCACAACATTTCAAACTATAAGAACTTGAAATTCCTTATCCACAAAGTCAAGTTACAAATCAATAACAAACTATTTTTATGATCAATTTATCTTTTTTATTCAAAATACATATAATCTAATTGAATTACATGCATCTTCCAAAGTAAATATACAATAGTAATGTCATGGAATAATGAAATTATTTTTCAAATGAATGGTATTCAACCACAAATAAGAGTTATTTGTTTATTGATATTAAATATCATATTATAGTGAAAATATTGATATAAAATAGAGCTTGTATATCATATAGTAATTTAAATATTGATATCAAATATTGTTTGTACATCATTTAGTAATTTATATATTGCTCTTAAATATAGCCTGTATATACTGACAGTAATTTATATATTGATATGAAATATAGCCTGTATAACATATAGAAATTTATATACCATTGGAAATATAGCCTGTACATCATATAGTAATTTATATACCGATTAGAAATATAGCCTGTACATCATATAGTAATTTATATATTGATATGAAATATAACCTGTATATTATATAGAAATTTATATACCGATTTGAAATATATCCTGTACATCATATAGTAATTTACATATTGATATCAAATATAACCTGTACATCATATAGTAATTTAACGATTGATATCAAATATAACCTGTACATCATATAGTAATTTAATTATTGATATTAAATATAGCCTGTATATACTGACAGTAATTTATATATTGATATGAAATATAGCCTGTATATCATATAGAAATTTATATACCATTGGAAATATAGCCTGTACATCATATAGTAATTTATATACTGATTAAAAATATAGCCTGTACATCATATAGTAATTTACATATCAAATATAGCCTGTATATCACATAGTAAATTATATACCAATTTGAAATATAGCCTGTACATCCTATAGTAATTTACATATTGATATCAAATATAACCTGTACATCATATAGTAATTTATATATTGATATCAAATATAACTTGTACATCATATAGTAATTTATATATTGATTTGAAATATAGCCTGTACATCATATAATAATTGACATATTGATATCAAATATAGCCTGTACATCATATAGTAATTTAACGATTGATATCAAATATAACATGTACATCATATAGTAATTTACATATTGATATCAAATATAACCTGTACATCATATAGTAATTTATATATTGATATCAAATATAACCTGTACATCATATAGTAATTTACATATTGATATCAAATATAACCTGTACATCATATAGTAATTTAACGATTGATATCAAATATAACCTGTACATCATATAGTAATTTATATATTGATATCAAATATAACCTGTACATCATATAGTAATTTACATATTGATAGAAAAAAATAACCTGTACATCATACAGTAATTTATATATTGATATCAAATATAGCCTGTACATCATATAGTAATTGATATACTGATTTAAAATATAGCCTGTACATCATATAGTAATTTACATATCAAATATAGCCTGTATATCACATAGTAAATTGTATACCAATTTGAAATATAGCCTGTACATCATATAGTAATTTACATATTGATATCAAAAATAACCTGTACATCATATAGTAATCTATATATTGATATCAAATATAACCTGTACATGATATAGTAATTTACATATTGATATCAAATATAGTCTGTATATCATATAGTAATTTATATAACGATTTGAAATATAGCCTGTACATCATATAGTAATTTACATATCAAATATAGCCTGTATATCATATAGTAAATTATATACCAATTTGAAATATAGCCTGTACATCATATAGTAATTTACATATCAAATATAGCCTGTATATCATATAGTAAATTATATACCAATTTGAAATATAACCTGTACATCATATAGTAATTTAACGATTGATATCAAATATAACCTGTACATGATATAGTAATTTACATATTGATATCAAATATAGTCTGTATATAATATAGTAATTTATACAACGATTTGAAATATAGCCTGTACATCATATAGTAATTTACATATCAAATATAACATGTACATCATATAGTAATTTACATATTGATATCAAATATAACCTGTACATCATATAGTAATTTAACGATTGATATCAAATATAACCTGTACATCATATAGTAATTTACATATTGATATCAAATATAACCTGTACATCATATAGTAATTTATATATTGATATCAAATATAACTTGTACATCATATAGTAATTTATATATTGATTTGAAATATAGCCTGTACATCATATAATAATTTACATATTGATATCAAATATAGCCTGTACATCATATAGTAATGTAAAGATTGATATCAAATATAACATGTACATCATATAGTAATTTACATATTGATATCAAATATAACCTGTACATCATATAGTAATTTAACGATTGATATCAAATATAACCTGTACATCATATAGTAATTTATATATTGATTTGAAATATAGCCTGTACATCATATAATAATTTACATATTGATATCAAATATAGCCTGTCCATCATATAGTAATTTAACGATTGATATCAAATATAACATGTACATCATATAGTAATTTACATATTGATATCAAATATAACCTGTACATCATATAGTAATTTAATGATTGATATCAAATATAACCTGTACATCATATAGTAATTGATATACCAATTTGAAATATAACCTGTACATCATTATAAACAAAGTCCTTATATTATACAGTAATAATTGATATTAAATATAGCTTAGATACATGTATAGGGATAAATATATTGACATTAAATAAAGCCAGAGAGTAAATGTAGTAGTATTATCATATAGTTATATAGTCTATATATCAGATAGTAAAGTAATTTATACATTGATATTAAATATTGCCAATATATCATACAACCTGTATATTATATAATAATTTATACATTGATATAAGATAATCGTGTAATGCTCAATAGCTTAGAATTCCAGGTTATGAACTCTTACCAATTTGATGGTATGTATGTACATAAAGGGCATATATATACCAAGGTAGAAAGCTCAGAGAATGTTTTCAGTGTTCTCATACATTTATAGTGAACCCAAAACACCATGCATTTATCACAGCCAATCTATAAAAAAAAAATAAACACAAAAGTCAACATTAAAATAATAAATTTAACAACCTATAAAAATCATGATTCTTAAATGTGAATGAGATATAGAATACTTTAAACACACAAAACCTCTAGATAGCTTTTTGAGTGCTGGTCTAAGCTGTTCTATCATAATTTAACATTTTAAAGAAACTGAGTACTTTTAAAACTGGAGGTGTATTAGTATGCAAGTATAAATGAAATGAAATTGAGTTTAATGTAATACTTTTCTGCACCAACAGGGCTAAGGAAGAAGCGGTATTATTATACTATAGGAAGTTTCTATTTCTTACAATGACTAAGCCACATGGGGTTCATGTAATGCGGCATCACAATATACATTCCTCCCCCTAAAGAGCACAAGAATGATTAATATTTCTTACCCACTGTATATTATTAACTTGACCTTTTGGATATTTTGTACTGCAGATTCTACAGATATCTGAAACGGTGCTTCCTGGAAAATCAAATGGCAAATTTCAAATGTAATCATGGAAACCAAGCTAAATAAAGTTATTTTCACACACAGAAATCTCCAGTGAAGTTAAATCAATGAAAAATAATTGGAGGCAAGTATCTAACTAAACGAGTTAATTGTTTTAGCAATATTTCAAATGCCTCAATAATTGAACTGAAACCGTCAAACTTGGTAAGTAGGCTATTTCTTTACATTTTGACATTTGGTTTGAAATTTGCATACTTAATGAACTTTTTTCCAGAAAACCCAGGTTTTCCTAATCAAGGAATTGAAATTTCTATTTAAAATTTTACAGCCAAATAGTGTGAGAAATATCTGACAAGATGATATCTTGGTTAGAGACACAATGTTTGGTAGAGGTTTTACACATCTCGAAATAAAATATAGGACTGTTTAACTTTAACCCTGTGTAGAACAATATCAGTATATCATTAAAATATAATGTAATACTAAAATAGAATTGCAAACAAATCTAGACAGATCAGAGATTTGTTCCAAAACTTACCTTGAATTTTAAAAATGGTTTTTAAAATTTCCATTCTATAAGTGGATAAATCATTATCAGTGACAGAAAATGACACTTCAAGTCCGCTAATTATCTTTTCAGCAAACTAGAAATAGATTATTTCATATTTTCAGATATTAAGATCGATAATTATAAACATGCTAGCAACATGCCTCAACCAATACAAATTTCTTCAGTTAAATATGTTTTATATTATCTGTACCTACAAAACCATAGTTGATAGAAATGATTGGCAAACATAATACAAACCTTTAGACATAGCACTCCACAAGAAATACTATCAGGCTGTTTGGGGTGAGGAATACCATTTACCACCCAACCATCAACAGTTGAACAAACTGATTCATTGATATTGATGAAATTTCTGAATAAAAAGGTAAGGTATATAAATAATGAACAAGAGGTACAAAGGTCTTAACTTCCCATTGATTCAAGAATACTTTGTGGGGACTACATGTCAACAATATGAATGCCATAACATTAAAAATCAATAGGATTCTTCTTATTTGTCTAATGAACATAAAAACTGTGTATAAATTTCAAGTTAATCAAATGATAACATTTGTCGCTAAAGTGTTTACAATATCCTACAATAAGTGCAAGAGTCATAAGTTATTAACGAAATTTGGTATGCTTTTACATATCACTAATCTAAACAATGCAAATAAACTTTATAAAGATCTGATGATAATGTAGTCTTTAGAGTGTTCACAAGAAATTTTCGACACTGACCAAAAGACGGGCAGGGGTGACAGCAATATACAACCATACTTTAATGTGGGTATACAAAAAGAGAATTTCTAAGTATATCTTGCCAAATCACAGTGGATTCATAATATACAAATGTGCAATATGACAGTATATGACAAAGATTTAAAGCCTAACAATTACTGGCTATGAACTGTCTACAAAAATTACCTCCAGTTCTGTAGTATTTCTTTTTTTGATCTTTCTAGCTCTCCCAATGGATCAACCAGTAGAATTGTTTTCGTGTTTATGTATATAACCTTAAATTGAAGCCGTGGAAATTCAATCACTTATACACAGTTAAAAATATAAAACTACATGCAAATAATATGTCTAGAAGTTTGCAAATTTTATGTTCAATACTGGAAGGGGTAGCTTTGTGATCACATGTATTTTCCCAGTCCAGTTCCTCCCTGTGGTTAATTTTGCAGATATAGAAGTGCCTAGACTGGAGCGTGAATTGTTAATTTAAGGTACAATTTGCATTGCACACAGAGAATAACCAAATATTTTATTGCAATAAAAAGAACATCGGATGTTGAGTAGACGGTAAGGTCAAAAAAGATGTACCGGGAATGATTTTAATGCAATGCTACCATCTGATATTTGCTAACACAATTTTAGTATGCATATCTATTGAAATTATCATTTGTTCATAACAAAAAGAAAGAAACATTAATCCCCAACTGGGGATCATCATTTCACAAACAAGACCTATTTTCTACGCTATTCATCTTAAGTGACAGATTGGCAACATGTACTCTGGACTATTTTAAACTACAACGGCAGTTGTCAAATGTCATCATTTTATCATCCAACTCTCTCTTTCTCACATACATTGAAGAATTACACCTCTATATCCGTTCTTGGAATATCAATTAGATTAGCGTTTCTAAGATTTTGAAATTTCAGATCCTAAAAGTTGGAAATGAACAAAATAACCAAAAAATATTGCAGTACTAATTAAACCAAAGTTTCAGTTAGTTGCAAGAGATTGGGATGAAACATATTATATCACATTTGAAACAGAATATTTTAGAACCTACTATTAGCATCCAGTGGTTGGAACCAATATTCAGTACACCAATTACTGTCTCGCCAACTATTTCCAACTGAAATTTCAAGAATAACAGTAATATAATTTAACGGTTATGTTTCCTAAAATATATGTTGCCAGGTAATGAAACATAGATCAACTAATAACCTCTGTCATCTAAGACTAAATACAAAACATAGATGAGGGCTTCTCTGGTCTCCAATGCACCAACTAGCAGCAAAGTCATCTGTGCTTGCGCTAAAATCAACAAAAACTAATCCAAGCACACTTTAAAGAAAAACCTGTGATTTACGATCAAAATATTCTAAATTTCTAGTGACCCCCCACCCTGTATACGTCAATGAACAGTCTACAATTGTATTTTATACACATATAATTCATTTTACCATTTCAATATCTAACTATAAAATTTAAACATGTCATATTTTCTATTTGAGCAAGAAAGTCAACAATATTTTGTTACCTCTGATACTGCAGCTTGTTGCCTGACATCAAATATCATTGACATCAATGTACACTTTAAATATTGGTAATTACTCTGTAATAATAAGCATTATGAAACAACAATTTTACATCTATTAAATTAGTGATAGAGTTTCTTAAACAGAAAATTAATCAGACATGTTATTACATCTACGTCAGAAATATTGATCAGAAGTTCAAGGTCTTATCATAACATTCTGGCACTACAGTCCGCACAATAAACAACAGAACTATAGTCTAATTGTTCTATTCCATTTTTTTTCTACATGGATTTTCTGTATACCAATAATAAATGGATATTGGAAAAAAGTGAAAAAAATATATACCTTTTGCTGCCTTATAATAGAGAACATGTATGCATCAATCACCTGCAATAAATCCAAATCCAAATCATATATCTGTGTAAATCTATCAAGCTTTATAGTGAATAATTATGATCAAAGAAATAATACCATATAAGCTAAATGTATTAAACTTTATAGACAGTAATGGCAAGTCTTTATGACATAAGCGAAATTGTAGTGGCAGCTAGCCAACAAGTGCAAACAAGTGTCATGTATTATAAAAAATTGACATCCTATTCAATTTTTCAAGTGATCATACACCAGATTTCTCAAAAGCAGCTCCATTATTTTCCTACCAGAAACATTTTCTGTGTTTGTCAAACAATGTTTCATCGATTAATTCTATTTCCCATTTTCCAAGGACCCAGATAATGAAATAAAATCACATTCATGACCAGGAATTGTGACCTCCAGAGTGTGCAAAAGGGCAGAATTTACATAGGGTACCTTAGATCAATAAATGCACGATTTTAAAGAATGATCAAGATTTGTCATCTTCGAACGAATTGGGTACATTTTTTGACAAGGGCAATAATCACTTCATTATGTAGATCATAATTCTTGGTGCACATTTTAAAAATGTTATGGAAATGCTTGTATCAAGCTAATAAAGCAATTCAGCTATTTAACAGTTAAGTGAATAATGACAAAAAAAATATATAAATATTTTAAATAAATAAATAAATAAATGACTACATAAAACATACTTATGCTATTTTTTAAAATATTACTAACCTCATCAGGTATCTTGTCCTTAGCAAAACGTATCGTGTTGGTATAGATATTAATATTTTCAATATTGAATAGTAGATGGTTTTCTCTAGTATTGTGTCTTTTCTGCCAAATACTATGTATATCTATATGTAAAAATATACATACAATTTAAGCACTCAAACATTTAAATATAAAATCAGAGCTTTGACAAGCATTTATTTGACATGATAGATAACTAAATATTCATTTAAAAGTGTTGAAATGTATACAATATATTCACAAAGGTTATAACTTTTACATGATTTTTCAGTTTACCTTTTATTATCAACCTCGCTGACCATACAAATAGCACAGAGAAGTCAAGCATCAGGAAAAGAGTAGGACATATTGGACTAGTGATATACAAATATAAACATGAAGCTTACGAACAATTATGCATCTAACTTCATTTTCCCCCCCATATGTTTAAGATAGGTTGCCAGGCAACAAAACATACGCCAACAGCAGCTAAGTCGTCCAAGCAATCCGCAAAGGTTGTCGCATATTTATTCTTTTGTGGATAATGGGAGCATTCATACGACACTAAAAACTGATCATGAGTAATAATCCATAAAGTAATTATCAGAAATAATTAAAATTTGATTGTATGTGTATAAATTTTAAGTCAATTGAATGATAACTTTAGGCTCTAGAGTGTCCACAAGATTATTCAAAAAATCAATTAAGCTTATTCACTCATAAGTTACCACTATGAAAGAAAACATTACATATCCTTAAAGAAAACACACGATAATAAATTGCAATCTTTAAATGTATTGCAAATTAAAACAATCTGATTAACTTATGAAGACTAAGAGATGTAACCTAAAGCATAAATAACTTTTTGAAAATATATTATAATTAAAATGTTAAAAACCATCAATTCAACCTGATAATATCCAATAACTATGAAAGTTTTACCTCTCTGTTACTAATTTGAACACTATCCAAATTGTTTTCCTTATTCACAGCTTAATATGCAAGCAAAATAACAATACATTCTGTTCACAGTTCTACAGTGTCATCCATTCAACAGCAATTCCCAATAATAATGCATTTTGTATACAGAACCTATATCTATAGTTGTTACTGACAAGTTAAAATTCCATTTCTAGATGTATAGTTCTTATCACAGATCTCTCTTAGTGACAGATTTAACTAATGGGTCCACACAATTTTAAAAAGTTATTAAGGGCAACAATTCCAAAAGCAATTATCAGCATCGTCAGCTTATGAACATAAACACTGTGTATAAATTTAAAGTCAATCAGATGATAACTGTGGTCTCTAGAGCATCTAGAAGATTGTGAAAACTGATCAAGGGCAATAACTTTGGCAGTGATTATTGGAAAATTGCTGAAAATGAATAGGATTCTTCGTCTCATGACCTTAAACACTGTGTCTTGGATGATTGTTTATGTGTGGTGCGGTCCTCCTGCACTTACTATTTAGACTGTAGACGGGTGACAACAATATAAAAATTGAACTTACATCTTTCTATATTCTCAGAGTTGTCACTGTAAATAAAATGAGATATTAGAGTGATTGAAAGACTTTTAACAGATGCTTTAATTTCTTAAATATATATGCTGACAGGACTGCTCTTTGAAGAAAATTGAATAATATATTAAAATATATTAAAATATAGATTGCCAGGCCATGCAAAATACAGCATCGAAATCGTCTCAACAGTCCATAAAGGTTTTCACTTGTGCATTTATAAAGAGTTAAGATCACCAACCCAAAAAGTAATTATTGGAAATCATTAAAATAGGTCTTTTCCTAGCGCCTACATAAACAATCAATTGATAAATAGTCGCTATCTGTAAAATCAATCATCAGAAAACAGGGAAATTAACAGAAAAATTGACAACAATAAATGTTGACATTTAAATGTACCAGTAAGTGTATACATGTAATAAGAATCAAATAAAGAACAACATCATTTAACTTGATTAGTTCTCTTGACTAGGCCTAATAATTGATGATGATGGGGATGATGATCATATGTTGATTACACACAAAAGAATATGGTAATTTTGTAAAAGGTAAAAGTTACTCAATAAATCGGTAAAACGATACATTTATGCAGATAAAATAAGCAAGATTGATTACAAATTAGGACTTCTGATATACTGACCTCATCTCGTACTCCTAAATTATTTCAAATATCATCTTTAATATACAACGGAGTAAAACATCGATCAGTGTGAAAAATTAACAGTAAAATTAAACTCAAATTAATAATAGTAAACTGACCTCATTTCTTCAGCATTAATTTCTTCAGCGTTAATTTCTTCAATTTCTTCAGCGTTAATTTCTTCTTCAGCGTTAATTTCTTCTTCAGCGTTAATTTCTTCTTCAGCGTTAATTTCTTCTTCAGCGTTAATTTCTTCAATTTCTTCAGCGTTAATTTCTTCAATTTCTTCAGCGTTCATTTCTTCTTCAGCGTTAATTTCTTCAATTTCTTCAGCGTTAATTTCATCACTTGGTGTAAGCTTATTTCTAAAAAAAATGAAAAAAGTTAGTTCAGATTTACTTCGCTTTAATGTAACCTCAATGGCATTTGAATCTAGTGTATTAATTATTATAATAGGGGCAGCCAATAAATTAGCTACTATGGTAGGTACAGGTAAGTAGAATATATAGGAGTGTGTCTGGAGCAAAAAAAGATATCCCATGGTTGTGGATAAAAGAAATGCTAGGTTAGTTCTGAGTTCATGAACTCTCATCAGTATATAATATTTTGATGTCATAACAAAAATATCCCTCTTTTCTACCCTATATTTCAGCAGTGGGCAAAGCTTAATTTGTCATTAAATTCTTCAGCCCGTTGTCAGTCAAAGGTCATCTGGTGATAACACAAAAATCATACAAACCTATTTGGTTTAATATTAAAATATTCCTGTGCTGATTTGATTAATTTAACCAATTGTTCCTTTTTTGCCCGTGGTTGTCCTCCTGTAAATATATATAAATTTACAAAATGTTCAAACATAAATAAATGTTTTCAAATCTCAATTAAGGGGCAAAGGGTTTTGTATGAATAGTGCAGGATTTGAATAATTCATGAGAATAAAACATCTATGTTTAAGTATCTTCATCTAAATTCATGTTACACTGTACTTCTGGAATGAGTTAACATCAAATTTTAAAGACACAGTAATATTAAGATGTGGAGGAATGCGGAAAAGTGTATTAGCACTGCAATTTCCAACACAATTTCTCTAGCTAAAGCTCAATTATAACATGCTTAAACGAAAAGAAGTGCTTTTCAAATAGTCAACCTTTTAAATGCTTCCAAGATGATCAACAGTATTTACTTCAACGTCTGTAAATTCATTTAAGAATTGAATGCTGTATTATATGGTTTATGGATATATAACATCACTTGGTCGCGAGGTTAAATTCAATAAACTCTCAAAATTCCAAACAAGTATGTGTACTTAAAAGCATTGATGTATTTAAACTAAGATTGTTTTCTAGTCAATATGCCTACTTATTATCATAATATTATTGATGTGGATTGGAAAGTGTTAGGACTGAGCTGTATGGTAATCATACTGGACAAAATACCTCTGACGTCACCACTGTGGTTCAGGGGCTGATATCTACAATTGCAACAGAGCAGGGATGCTATTTCGCCTGTATATGCCGGACATGTCCTATACTAGTTGGCAAACATCCGACTGGGAATATGTCCAATTGGACATCAAGATATGGTTAATAATATTCAAAATTCCAAAAAATATTGACTGTACTGAGGGTATAATTATTACTAATCTTGTTACTAATGTTGATTATCGGGTAACCCAACAAAAAAAATTGACCCGAAATCTTAAAAGGGTTACGTGTCTGGATAAGCAGTTTTGATGTTCACATTCAAACGACTATATATATTGGCGATTATTTTTCAGACTCTGTGCAAATCCAGATAGTCCCTTTAAGTGTGCGAATTCTCCTTCTATCTCTGATAAGGACGAGAAAGCGGAGGCCAGGGTGAAATGGCCAAAACTGACGATTCTTATTTTTAAATTTGTTGGCTTGATAGCGAACACTGAAATCTTGTCGGGGCGTCGTGTTTTATATTATTATAACAGATTTCTCATGTTATACCAATGGACTTAAATGTGAGTGTCTGGACAAAGTTCCACCTTTGCAAAGTTTCACCATAGAAATGATAAGTTAGGCCTATGTGGTTGTCTCAAAATGACCGAGTTAATCTGTCGACGAAACGTTTAACTCAATCATATTTCATTTTAAAAAAAAATGAGAGGACCATTAAGTAAGATTATAGTAACGGAGCTAGGAAACGGGGGGGCTTTGGACACATGCACATAGTCTAGGGTCGTTTGAATTCATCAATGTATTATTCTCCACATCTACACTTAATTTGGTAGACACAGCCTTTCAGGAATGTAGGGTTTGTGAGATTTGACTTTCCATTAACATGTACTAACACTTTAGCTGATGCATCTTTGTGGAATTTGTTTTGTATTTCTGCTTATGTTTTAAATAACCTTAAATAACCTTCAGAGTATTGGACTTCGCTGTTCACTCATTTAACATAGTAGAAATTGTGTACACAATGTTAATAATAAATTTATAGGGTCTAACATTGATAGTTTTTGAGACATTGACTGCTATTTTTTGATTGGTCAACTTTGACCTTTGACCCCGCCCCAAACATTTTCCCCAAGCGATCATGATGGGTCATTTTTTTCTGGAGTACCTACGGATCCCACCTTTCATTTGAGACCAAGTTTGCTTTGATGGGACTTTTTTCCAGGAAATAATCTAAATCCGGCAGGCTATACTTGTTAATTTCAGTAGTATTGAAATAAAAACTCTTTAAATAGTTTTCTATTTACACTGATAACCCAGTATTTTATAGATTCTATCTTTGTACTAACTGATTACAAAATTAACATACCTTTTGGGTGATTTAAAGAACAGAATGGGACATCAGTGATCCCCCACCATACTGGACAATTACTATCCTTATCAAAAAAATTTCTTCTTTGTTCTTTAGCTAAAAGATTCATAAATAGATATGTAAATTTGATTTCAAATAACACAAAGAAATAAAAATTCTTGATGGCAGACACCCACCCTTAAAACAATTAACACTGTTAATATATGGAATCATTTGATATCTAGTTTTATTTACATGCATCATCATTTTAAAACTCTCTCTAAACAGCTAAAAGAATCTCATTTTGAATAGTGGTCTGGAAATATTGTGAATTTTGACCAATTTCAGACAAACTAGGGTTATAACTCTGAAAACAGTAATAATTTGTGAAAACTATATTAATTAAAGGGGTCACACTGGTTATGAATTAATCAATATCTGAAAGTTTACTATTTTCAGCAGGACATTACTTATATGGACACCACAAACTGTAAATGTGGATGCATAATAAAAAGAACACCCATCAAAGAAATGATATGACGATTAACATCATGATGATTTTATTGTTTATTTTGGAAATCTTTACTCATCCACTTAAGGATTGAACTGTTACCAGATGGTGTTTATAGGCAATATGAATACCATCTGGGTGACAGGAAACTGGGTGACAGGTAAATAGAATGAAGTTTGCTAGGACTTCAGGATTATTTACCTGTCACCCAGATGGTATTCATACTGCCTATAACCACCATTTGGTAAAAGTTCAATGCTTATATTTATATTTCTCTTTTTCGGACTCATTTATTCTGTTATTATTATTCTATTTTAAATGAAAACATTCAAATTTCCCTCTGTAACCTTATTACGTCATCGTGATACATAATATAGTGTGTGGAAAAAGGAGAGAAAACCCCCCCCATAAATAATCAATGGACATAATATTTTATGTATCAATACTTTTTTGTATCAATTTAATTTAATAAAAGTTTGTCCAGTATATATTTTAATAATTTTAAAAGTAGTTCTGGAATGATGTGCATGTATTCTTACATCTGATCAGCTGACCAAATAGTATTCATAGCCTATATGAATACCATCTGGATTTACTGGTGTTAAATAGTGATATGAAATGCCAAATGTTAATATATACATATGGATATAATACAGCACTATATAATGCATATGACTGAGTAACTCACCATGTCAGTGATCCAGTACAATCCAACATCAACATCAACAATAAACTTTAAAGTAAAAACAAACTTTGTTTAAAAAAGATAACTCGTCATATTTAACATAAATCAAAGAATAACAACTGAAAATAAAAAATGTCAGTACTTGAACTTGAAACTTTGTTTCTCCTTCAAAACAGTCATTTAGGGCAGCATGCATATAGGGTACTTAACAATTAAAGATGCATTATGTAAGATGTAGACAAGGAGCTGACTATTCGTGCTATAATAGTTTAAAAATAGATAATGTAAAATGAAAATATTGAAAATTTCAGTCAAATTACTTTATTCTGGACGCAGTTATGAGCGGTTTGAAATTTTGACAAGAAATAGTGTAGTCTCGATTGCCAAAGCACTATATTTCCAAGATAATAAACTAAGTCTCGATTATCCACCAACTAACTGATAAGTGATTTAATTATTGAGTGGGCACGATGTTCTAATCTACTTAAAATCAGAGCCATCGGAAGATCTAGAGAGTTGATTATGGGCTTGTTATGTGAATAAATGTCTAAATAATAATTTATGTAACATTTGAAGCCAGAAATAAGATTTAATTCTTACATAATGCATCTTTAATAATAGAATATAATGTATGAGTCTATAAATATTGTTTGTTGAATGCTTCTCTTAGGGAGATAATAAACTAAGAACCATTTATTTTAGCTATAGTTTAAGTGTGTACACTATTATTCACACAAAGCTTTCATAAAGTAGTTTTTTAATCTTAACTATTTAATTAACATGTATGCACTTAACATGAATCTTATTCTAATAAAATATTGTTTAAATCAACATTATAAACTCATTTTTTTTTCAATAACAAAAGAAAAAACTGAAAGCAGGAAAAGTACAATTACAAATGACTTACTAGTAATGGCATCTGATTTTAAAAGTAAAGATGTGATGACCGATCGCATCTCATGCACATCCATCTCAGTCGCAGTTTTATTTAGATAGGTTGATACAGTTGTTTTCGGCATATAACTAGGCTCTGAAATATCAATTCAATTGGGACTGCAAAAATTTTAATAAGGATACCTGGATAAGGACAGAACTGATTACTTACTAATATCTAAATAACATTACTGTAATTTTAACAAATTCTAGTGGGCATGTTACCCATGCTGTAGTGATCAGAATTCGGCTAAATGTACTTTACAGCTACAGTACAACTGTTTACCTTGCAATCCCAAGATGATAATCAAAGTAAGAAAAAAATTAATAGAAATCTTGTGAATGTGATACAAAGTTCTCAAAGTAAGTCTTTAAAACGTGGTGAGATTGTTAATTGGGTCATATGGAAAAGCCATATTTAAATTATAGGATCATAAAGTTTGAAAGTTATTTTTCCCTTTCTACTTTTAAAGCTCAGTACAGCGTTTATTCAAAAAACTTTTAATAACCTACTCTGTGGAATTTGGGTGTGTTTGCTGTTTGTGGGCGTATAAGGGGCCTGAGAAGCCCGTTAATATTCTAACATCGCTAATGTTTTTCATGTCTCAGTAACTTCAGGCTTCAAAACCTGCCAAAGACGTCAATCTCTCAATTTACAGAAAACTCAGTAACACAGCCAGGCTATGGTATCAGATGAATACAGTAATATCTTGGCACATGTTGAGGATGCATAAAAGCATGATATTGAATAAATAATTTTATACAAACCATCACCAAAAAATTGTTGACTGTTTACTGCTTCTCGGTACAGCTCTACAACTTTCTCATTTTCATAAAATTTGCTCATCATTTTTGAGCTGCCTTCAAAAGAAAATAAATAATACTTGTCTAATTTCATGTAAATTATTAATCAATATTTAATTAAAAGACAGTTATTGCAGCTCATTGAACAAATTTGTAAGAGTAAGCTTACCAATCGTTTTTTTTTTCTGATCATACGTCATAATAGTCATTCAATCATTTCCATATCATTGACTGGGTAAGATAGGCGCTGGCTCGCTAACCAGGAGGTCCCATGTTCGATCCCGGTGATTGGCAGAGAAAGTTCCCCGGCATTTTCCAGCATTGTTTCTAGCAGAATGTACTTGTTTGGATGGGAAAAAAACGAAGGTCCTGTGTACACCTTGGCGTGCACGTAAAAGAACCTACGACAGTTGGAGTTCAATTGCTCTTCGGGGAAAATTTCCCTCATAGCACCCCGGATGTCCGTCTTTATTAGCTCGGTAAGAGCAGAAAAGTAGGACGTTAAAAACCCCATTTCATTCAGTGATTCATTCCTTATCATTTCATAAATATTGATGCAGCATTATTAGGTTCAGAGCAATGTTCTTGGTACTTTATCTGATGTGATCCTTATAATGGTGATTCACTAGAAACATGTACATGTTATTGAATCTGACACATAACTCATTTCGAAACAAAGAGTGAAAACAAATCTAAAGGAAGAAATTGAAATACATACCACAGCCAACATAATTGTTGTTTACCATGCCAATGCAAATGACATTGGCCGTTGGATTCTTGTCGTTGTATTTCTTAATCTACAAAATATGCTCAGAGTAATTAGAATTTCAATTAAACCAATAGTGCTAAAGACTGTTATAATTATATTTGAAAAACATGGTAGGTGTTGGTAATTGACCAGAAATATTAAATTTGTGGCAAAATTGACACTTGTTCCATTAGTTTTTGAGACCATTCTGCCCCCATTTAAATGAAATAATTGTGGGGTCCGCTGCACTTGGCTTGGGCATAAGGCATTGATGCCTATTCTCTGGTTCCTGACTCTGCAGACTATTGTCATGGGTGAATAATCAAATGTATATTAACCTTTAATTTCAAGGCTTTCCAAGCCTTAACAGATGACATCTTTTAATTAACTGAAAGATAAAATGTTTTAAAATGAAATAAACATGAAAATGGATTACATCTTATCATTATAAGGTCCGTGTCAGATGGGACTATCAAATGGTATAATAGCTCAATATATGGTCTTTTTTTTCAAAGTTTAGGGTGAGTGAAAATAACTATGCATACAATTATAGGCAACAGGGTCCACACCAAATTTATACGTGAGTCTAAATCCTTATGATGAGCCAAAATCTAAAAAAAAAATCTAAAAAGAATTGATATGTAGAGCATTTACAAGATTTGTGGAGTGACGGAGGACGAACAGACGACTTACCACAGGGGTGATGACAATATATTCCCATGTGAAATGTGAGCATATAAAATGTATGGCAAGGTAGAGAAAACAGCAAATTTTAAGAAAAAGTTGGTATAGGGAGGGGAAGGTTGTCTTGACAGGGAAAAGTAGAAAAGGTAAGACCTCTTTAACCCTGTAAAACAATTAAAGCCCATTCAAAACTGCTACAGAGAACATCAAGATATTACATGGAATCATTATGGGCTTTGTACTAAAAAATTAAAACAGTTGAAGAGACCATCAACCTATCATATCTCCCAAGTAATAATTTAAACAGTTGATGAAACCATGTGCAATGTGCAATATGGTCTCCTGCATATGGTCTCATATATTAAAACAGTTGATAGGACCATTAAGGAACAATATGGTCTCCTGTATATGGTCTCATGCATCAAAACTGTTAAAGAGACCAGTAAGATATTACATGGTGTTGGGACCATCAGTGAACAATATGGTCTCATGTATCAAAACTGTTAAAGACCAGTAAAATATCATATGGTGTTATGTAATTAAAACAGTTGATGGGGCCATGAGTGAACAATATGGTCTCATGTATCAAAACTGTTAAAGAGACGAGTACGATATATTGTGTTATGTAATTAAAATAGTTGATGGGACCATCAATGAACTATATGGTCTCATGTTATGTAATTAAAACAGTTGATGTGACATGGTCTCATGTATCGTATCAAATCTGCAATATGATCTCATGTATAGGGTCTCTATTAGAACAGTTGATGGGACCATTAAGGAACAATATGATCTACTGTATATGGTCTCATGTATCAAAACTGTTAAAGACCAGTTAGATATTATATTGTGTTATGTAATTAAAACGGGTGATGAGACCATAAAGGTACAATACATGTATACACGTCTGAATAAAACTGTTAAAGAGACCATCATGTTATCATGTGGTCGTATGTATTAAAACTATTAAAAAGACCATCAAGGTACATTATGGTCTCTTGTGTTATAGGATATGGTCTCATGTAATTAAAACTGTTAAAGAGACCATCATGTTATCATGTGGTCGTATGTTAAAAGGTATCTTCTCATGTATTAAAACTATTAAAAAGACAATCAAGGTACATTATGGTCTCTTGTGTTATAGGATATGGTCTCATGTAATTAAAACTGTTAAAGAGACCATCATGTTATCATGTGGTCGTATGTTAAAGGGTATGGTCTCATGTATTAAAACTATTAAAAGGACCATCAAGGTACATTATGGTCTCTTGTGTTATAGGATATGGTCTCATGTAATTAAAACTGTTAAAGAGACCATCATGTTATCATGTGGTCGTATGTTAAAGGGTATGGTCTCATGTATTAAAACTATTAAAAGGACCATCAAGGTACATTATGGTCTCTTGTGTTATAGGATATGGTCTCATGTAATTAAAACTGTTAAAGAGACCACCAAGTTATCATGTGGTCGTATGTTAAAGGGTATGGTCTCATGTATTAAAACTATTAAAAAGACCATCAAGGTACATTATGGTCTCTTGTGTTATAGGATATGGTCTCATGTAATTAAAACTGTTAAAGAGACCATCATGTTATCATGTGGTCGTATGTTAAAGAGTATGGTCTCATGTATTAAAACTATTAAAAAGACCAACCTAGGTACATTATCATTATGGGCTCAAGTGTTATAGGAAAAGGACCCATGTACATTAAAACTGTTCAAGATATCATCAAGGTCTTATGTTATAGGATGTGGTCTCATGTATTAACACTGAAAGATCTGCAAGGTATTATAATAAAAATTTTCATGCCTGTAAATACAATCTATACTTTTATGTTCTAACATACGTTTATAGGCTTTACCACCATTATGTCTAACTTATAAGTTATAATTGTAGGCTATCCCATTCCCTGTACACTGTGTAACATTTTACTTTTTAGTTGGAGATTTGAGTTCCAGCACGAGCGATTTGTTATTTCAAAATAAGCCAGTAATGTAAAGTCACTCACTGGTTTCACCCTGTTCATTCAGAATAATTAAATATCAGTGCCTTCTTTTCTCGTTGATGTTTAACGTCGGATAAATAGTAAAATATCTCAAATAATACTTATTTATTTATGTTTTGAAATAACCCGCGAGGATCCGCAGATATAACTACTTCTCACATCCGATTGGTTAAAAAGCATAAACCCCGCCCCTAAAGCATAAACCCCGCCCCTTTTCGTCCCTATCGGACCATGGTCTCTGGGCTATTTTCCATCCAGTTTAATACCTCCGCTTCGTACACTCTATCATTTAGCCTCGATCTAAAATTTCCGGGAGTATGACGTCAACGTAACGGTTAATCTCCGCTTACGACGCCATTTAAAAATTTAACCAGTCAATGAAATCCTGTTTAAATCCAAGCCGAATCCAAGCCATCCGTGGGTCTACAGAGTTGATTTTGTGCTTGTTGTGTAAATAAAGATCTAATTTATAATTTCTATGACATCTGAAGCCTAAATAAAGACTTGCAATAACCAGATTTAGCTCTTGCATAATGTATGTTTAATTAGACAACGTTTAAATTTAGACTGGAATATCTTTATGTGCAATTAAAGTTAGGTTGCCAGGCAACGAAACATACGCTCACAGCAGCTAAGTGGTCCGGGGAGTCAACAAGAGTTGTCGCATATTTTTACTTCTTTCGGTAATCAAACATTTATAATACACTAAAATCTGATTAAGAGTAACAACTCATTAAGTAATTATCAGAAAATCATTAAAATTTGTTTGGCTTTTAAAATCTGTTTATCAAGGGCCATAACTCTGGCAATAATTATCAGATATCGTTGAAAATCGATAGGATTCTTCGTCTCATGACCTTAAACATGGGTATACATTTAAAGTTAATCGGATATTAATTTTTCAAAGAGATCAAGGGTCATAACTCTGGTAGTAATTATCGGAAATCATTAAAAATCACTAGACTTCTTCGTCTCATGATCTTCAGACACAGTGTATAAATCTGAAGTCAATGGGATATTAACTTTAGCCCTAAGAGCATCCATAAGATATTTCTAAGTGATCAAGGGCCATAACTCTAGCAGTAATTATCGGATATCGTTGAAAATCAATAGGCTTCTTCGTCTCATGGCCTTAAACACTGTGTATAAAGTCAATCAGATATTAACTTTAGCCTCTAGAGCGTCCAATTGTGGACGCCCGACCGACTGACGGACGGGAGGAGGGCGACAATATACGACCACATTTTAATGTGGGCGTATAAAAAAGGCATTATGTAAGAGCTAAATCTTCCTATTTCATGTCTTTCTTTTGGTTTCAAATTATTAATTCGACATTTATTCACATGCCAAGCCCACAATCAACTCCCACAGGCGAATTACTGAAATAATATTGAACCATGTGTTAGTCCCGAAATGACCTAGTTTGTGTCGAGTGGACGTTAAACCCCCATCTCTCTCTCTTTATTCCCATGACAAGCCCGAACATGGACTAAAACACCATCGCCCTTTAAATAAAGATACATTATGGGAGATAAGATAAAGAGCTGGCAGTTCTCACTATAATAGTTAAAAACTAGAAAATGTTAAGAATATTTGCTGAAAATTTCAGTCAAATTGATCCACTATCAACTGAGATTTTAGCAATTGAAATTTCGGCCTACCCTCGGTCATCATTACTAAAGTTTGTACGATAAAAACATAGTCTCGATCATCCGTTTCATGATTAAATTATGAAAGGAAGTCGAGCAGCAAATGGAATCATAATCCAGTAAATATCGCAGGCTAGCGATGCCATCGAGTGTTGATTATGGTCTGGAAAAGTTAATTAATGTCTTATTAATAATTTAGATAACATTTCCGGCCTAAAGAAAGACATGCATTTGGCAGATTTAGCTCTTGAATAATGTTTGTTTAATTCATTTTTAAATGGACAATCCATACTTTGTTTATTATCGTGACAATGGTAGAAATGAAAATCGAGACTATGCCATTCTTCTCAAAACCTCAAATATTCATAACTTCACTCAGAATAAAGTCATTTGAATGAAATTTCCAATATATTAATTTTACATTATCTATTTTGGAACTATTATAGCGCGAACTGTCAGCTCTTTATCTAAATCTTACATAATGTATCTTTCAGTGTAAAAATCTAATTAATTTTTAACACGACCATGTGTCAAGTAATATTTTACTCGCCTAATTATATATACGTGGTGAAGACATGTAACGAGAGAGAGAAAGAAATGGGGTTTAACGTCCACTCGACACAAACCAGGTCATTTCGGGACTAACATGGTTCAATTTTATTTCAATAATTCGCTTGCACGTAGGGGTCTTTAGCAGTGGGAGGAAACTGGAGAACGAGGAGAAACCCCAGAGGTTGGACAGGCGACCCTACTCCTTGTCACGTACAACCGGTGAATTGAAACCACGCCAGTTGACTCCTACATATTCCGTAATACATCTTTGTTTTTACACCCTCCTTAATTAATTTAACACGAACTAATCAGTAATTATCAGGTGGGAAACAGTCTTTTTTTACACCGTCCTTTATCATAATGGCAAATTGGTTATGGAATTAATATCGACCAACAGGTGAGTAACAATATATATATATATATATATATATATATATATATATATAAGCCCAACAGTAGTGTATATTATAGGCGTGTCTACATGTAGTTGGGTCATTCAGTTGTTACAAAAGCCGCGTATCATTCGGGCAAAAGACTCTAAATCTCAAACGGTAGTCATCACAGTGTCAACAACCTCCGTCCTGATTTATTCAACAAAGAACGTTCGACAAAGCTTGGTCTGAACTTTGATCAATTTTTACTAATCTGATTCTGAGATTTTGATTTAAAATCAACAATCACTTGAAAATGAACGTTTGTTTAGACTGGGTTGTGTTTGTCTTTATATGGCAAGGAACGTTATCATTGAGTCAAGTATTTCAGGATTGGGATGATTCACCACTGGAAAGCAACTATAAGGCAATCACAACATCACCAGTGATGACCAGTATAGCAAGTATCTACATGGATTTGACAACTCCAAGGTCGGTTTTTCCGAATTTGGAAATTCAAAACTCAGAATTCACGCCACCACTAGTAACTGGTTCGGAATTTCAGAAATCCGCAACACTGATTACAAGTTCGGAGGACACAAATTTATACTCGGTGACTTCGTCGACAATAATTAATGCAGAGCTGTCCTCGGTGATTGCTGCAGGATATGGATATTTGGCAACGCCATCCTCGACAATAATTAATGCAGAGTTGTCCTCGGTGATTACTGCAGGATATGGATATTTAACAACGCTATCCTCGACAATGAGTAATGCTGATGAAACACGAAGTCTTATTTCGCAACGTAGAGAATCGGATAGAACGAATACTCAGTATCTAGCTTCAACCATTGGACAACTGTTACAGCAGAGGGAAACTAACCCAAAAACCAACTATAAGGAAATCATTACATTGCCATCGGTGACCAGAGTGGAAGGGATGTACAAGAAAATGTCACAGGGTTCTCTTGTCCGAGCTTCTAATGGACAGACCGAACACGTTAACACCACGGGTGATCTAAGTGAGGAGTCCACTTCTCTCAACAATTCATCATTAAGCAAGACACAACCAAGATTTGACTGTGACTCCATACGAATGCCGTTGTCGAAGAGAAATCAGTGCAAAAAAGAATTTAAAGATGAGTTCTTCTGCTTCAATGACGTCATTTCCTGTAGAGACATGTGTGGAGTGGAAGCCATCACGACATGCTCGTGTGACCTGCACTGTGAGCTGTATGGGACTTGCTGTGTCGATTTTCGTAGCGAGTGTCCGGATTTGTGGTTGGACGCTAAAGAAAGACTGTCTGGCATACTGGGTGTGACATTGGATTGTATCGACAATTCACCAGGTTATATCTTAATTTCTGGCTGTTCCCAGAACTCCAGTGCACATATTTTGTCCAAATGTCTCGGTGATAATACTGAACCAGTGTCAATTAGGAATTATCACTTTAAAAATATCCACTGCCTTATCTGCAATGGCTTTGCAGTGGCCGATGCACAATCATGGAATCTAACCCTTCGCGTTGATTTTGGAAGAGATATCGATCCTTCGTTCTTCGAAAAAACAGACATAAGTTCAATATCGACTAATGGAATTTTCCAATGGACTCCTCCTCCCCTTCCAAATCTCCACCTTTGTTCTATTATGATAATTAGCGATTGTCCAGACGGAAATGACATACAGCTTAAAGATAAATGTCAAGCTAACAGATCACCAGTTTCAGTCTTTGAAGATGGAAAGAAAACTCTGTACCACAATAAATATTGTGCAGCATGTTACGTGAGGTCATCACTATATGTTTGTAACAGTGCCGCGATATACGATTTCGCACACGTCACACAGGGACCAGGGCGCTTCTCCACCATCATTTCATGGCAAAAAAATAGCGATAAAACAAAGGCCATTCTTCATGCAGAGCGTCCATTTCTGTGGAAAACGATGACCTGCAATATCAGTGAAAATGTTAAGATGCCGGTCTGTAAAGTCACCACGTGTCATAACTCTTATCAACCAGTTAATGATACCTGCTCTTTATCGAACATTCCGGCATGCGCAAAGACTTTCATCACCTGGAATGGCCACCATCAAGTTGCTGCAACGTGTACGGATCAACCTTGTGTTAATGCCGTGATCGATCAGATGCTGGCGAGGATACTTCAAAATGTGCAAGTCGAGTTTCCAAGTATGACACTAGGAGCAACTTCGAGAAACACGGAGAAGTATGAACTATATATCAAAATGTTGTTTAACAATTGGGACAGAGCATCCTCGGATTCCGAAACTGTCCGACGTCTTTTTTCTTTGTATCAACAAACGGTGGAAAAATACCACAGAAGTCAATTTATTTCTGGTAGCACTATTTCTGTCAGAATAGGATTCACCAGTAAGACAGATTGCTTGGTGATATATGAATCAAGAAACATCACGATCATCGGTCCGACTCCATCTAGTGAACCGATTTCGTCTAGTGGTGGCGGATCTTCTTGCAGTTTTTTGGCTGTATTATTAGCATGTCTTTTCTTCTTGAATTGATACAGATGTCACAATGACAGTGGGTGACACAG